ACACACCTTCAATTAAATTTAAAGGTGAGAAATTTGGAATCCACATGTCAGTAGCAAAGGGCCTTATTAAATGCTCTGTGAAGTTAAGAACTTGAATGGTTGTTCAAATCGTCCTGACGGTTACATTTTTCCATGGGAAGTATGACATTTGGGCTTGACAACCATAGAACATACTGGAAGTTCATTGTTACCTTAAGCTTCACAATATAAAGGACTATGTAAGTTTTCTTTGTTGTAAAGAAGCTGGTATTTTTGTAGGACAAACATAACAATTAAAAAAGTAATCCTTGGGGCTGGAGAGATGGCTCAGAGGTTAAGAGCATTGTTTGCTCTTCCAAAGGTCCTGAGTTCAATTCCCAGCAACCACATGGTGGCTCACAACCATCTGTAATGGGGTCTGGTGCCCTCTTCTGGCCTGCAGGCATACACCCAGACAGAATATTGTATCCATAATAAATAAATAAATAACCCTAACAGTGAAAGGCATTGATTGAGGGAATAACAATGGATATAAAGTACTTGTTTTCCTATTACCATCACCGGTCATCACTATCATCATCATCATCATCATCGTTTGAGACAGGGGCTCACTACGTAGACCTGGTTGTTCTTTAACGTTCCATGTGACCTGACTGGGAGACCCACCAGCCACTGCCTCCCAAAGGCTGCGATTAAAGGCCATGTACTACCATTCCATCTAAGTACAGTTCCTTGACTATCAGCCATGAGAGTGATCTAGATTTTCTGAAAACTGCTAATATTTGTGTCTCTAACACATATAGGACCTTTAAGAACCAAAAGTCAACAGCAAAATTAACCCCACCATTATGCCTTAAAGGAACATGGATTGAAGGCAACACAGAAACACCGGAAGAGTAAGTTACACATGTATGCATGCATACATACATATATAAAGCAGGACTTCAAGAGAAAGCACTATCACTTCGTCATGTTTAGGGGAGGGAAGAGGGACAGGGAGAGACGTGGAGGAAGGGGGAGAAGAGAGGAAGAGACAGGTACACTGAGCTCTAACTTGGAAGGTGGTGGCAAGGAGACCTGGTAGTGGCAGTCCCTCAGTGGGAGAGCATTGGTTTTACAAGTAGGAGGCCTCTGTTCAGGCCGCAGTACTGCCAAAACAAACAACCAAAAACCCAAAGCCAAGTGAGTACTATATGAGAAAGGACCTCGGTAAAAGTTTGGGAAGAGGCTAAAGCAGGAAGTCTAACAGGACGAAGAGGAGTTAATAGAGGCGATTTAGAATGTTTGCTGCAGAATCTAGTAAACTGGAAGCTTATCTCAGATGCATATATCATTTAGTGACATGAAATTTCATTATTTTTGCCGGGCGATGGTGGCGCACGCCTTTAATCCCAGCACTAGGGAGGCAGAGGCAGGCGGATCTCTTTGAGTTCGAGACCAACCTGGTCTACAGAGCTAGTTCCAGGACAGGCTCCAAAGCCACAGAGAAAACCTGTCTTGAAAAACCAAAAAAAAAAAAAAAAAAAAAAAAAAAAAAAAATTCATTATTTTTAACTTTGGGAGAACAAATTTTAAGAAGATAGGCAGCAAGAACACCAACTTGTTGAATTCCATTTCATTCCTAAGAGTGGAAAGCAGTGAGGGTGAGCAACGTGGACAGAAATATTTTCCTGCTATAGATGTGAGACAAGGGACTGCATCTCTTTTGTTCATCCTACGTGCTAAGTATCTCTTAGCAAACGTTAAGATACTATTTCTGTAATTAAAGCATTAAAGAATACTATTAAAACAATGTTTTGATTATTGTATCTATCACTATCACTAAGTCTCTGTGCACGCCTCACGTTATTGTCAGAGAACTATCAAGAAAATGTATTTATTTATGTTTCAGTGCTAGCAATCAAACTCAGAGCGGTACATAGCAGGTACCGCTCAGTTGTATCCAAACCCCAGGGATCTTTACAGTCCTTCATGTATCTAGCTTAGAATACATAAGTATTTCAAATGGTGTAATAATGTATATTTAGCAACAATGTGAAACGAGTTTGCCATTGAAATATCAGTTATTTTTACCTGTTTGACAATTTGTGGAATTTTTATGGTTTCAGACTAGAGTAAGACTATTTCCAGAAATATTTACCTTCTAGGAATAATAGGGATGACAGTAATTCCTTGGGAAAAATTTTAATATTAACAAATTCCAAATACATTTTATGAGTACAATGTTATTGTTTAATATACATTACAAAATCCTTAACTTTATAAAGTATACAACTGTCTAAATATCAAAAGAATCCCACTCCTGATATGAAGACTAATTTCTCTATTATATCAAAATTAAAATGTACCCGTAATCTAACACTGAGAAATAACAACGTAATAAAGTCTATCTAGACACCATCAACAAGGATCTCATAAACACCTTGAATACATTTAAAATTTGTCTTTTGCTTTTCAGAAACACATGATGTTTCCTATTTTAATAGCATACATCAAAGGATCAAAACATGAGGGCAGAATGAACTTGGAGGCCAAAGACATGTTCATTCTAGAACTGTGTAGCCCACAGGCATTTTCCTTTCCTGTGCAAGTGAGAAACAAAGATACCTTCTTGTGTGAATACAGCTTGTTAGGAAAAAGAGGAAGAATGGGTAACTTTTTTAAAAGATTTTTTTTTTTACCAGAAACCTGCCAATAGGGTTATTTCCCCCCCCAAAATATCAAGTTTCAAATACTCCAGTACTTAGCTTTGACCTACTTACAGCTGTGTTTTTCTTTCAGCAAAATGACCATTACAATGTTGTTCAGTTTTTAAAAGGGGCATAATGTCTTACAACCCAAGTAACACTGAGCTCAGACCAAACTCGATAGTGTTCTGCCCTCCTTTGACAAGTCAGCCTAAGAAGAAACCTGTTTTATTTAAAAGGAAAAGCACTTGGTTATAAAAAGGTCTAAAGTTCCTATGCTTTCTACTGAGTTTCATCTCAACAATTCCTACCAAAGCATTTCACACCTATTTCTTTTATAGAATTTATCTTATATTCAAAATACTGTTTTCTTTTAGGAAGTTTGCAGCAACTTAAGGGCAGACAATATCGTATTTGCCCTCTTTTCTGGTGTTGGGATTTCAACCCTGGGCTGCAGGCATGCTGAGGGTAACCCACACCTCCCAGTCTCCCAGCCCAGAGTTCACCTTCCTATCAGGTTCCTAACCTTCAGCTGTGTTTTCTTCCCTCTTGTAGAGGTTGGTAGTCTGTAGACACACTGGATCTGTTGAGATAAAACTGAGAAAAAGCTGTTGCAATCTTGATTAGTTTATTTTTGAAACAAGGTCTCAGATAGCATAGGCTGCCCGGAGTTTCTGATTCTCCTGCCCACTCCTCCAAAGCCGGGACCTTTGTTCCCATGCCTCCTTGTGCCTCATTCCATTAGTTTTATGGTATAAGGTCAACTAAGGATCTTAAGGTTCCTTGTATATTTTAAAAAGCCTGACCTGGAACTTGCATTTCTCCTGCCTCCACTTCCTTCTCTCTCGTGGCTAAGATTACAGATGTGTGTTACCATGTTCAGACATAAAGCCATTTTAAAGACAGACAGATGTAATATTAATAAATGCATGTAGGAAGCATTTGAAGCACGTTATTGGGAAAATAACATGGAGAAGATAGACAGAAAATTACAATTGCTGAGGACTGCTTATTCAACGGTGTCAAATAATAGTGAATGCAAAAGACTGGAGATGTGGTTCAGTGGTAGCGTATGTATGCATGCACAAAGCCCTAGGTTTAATGCCCAGTTCACAAAACCCCCAAAGAAACTAAAATGTAACATATAGAAGAATGAAGACTAAGTAACTTTGTTAAAAGCTAGTTGATTTTATAATATTGTGCACTTATGATTTAAAAACACATGATGACAGAGCCAAGGAACTACACCTGCTACTTCAGATAACAAGCAAAAGGATTGTAAAGCATATTTGTTATAAGTATCATAAAAAATCTTAAAGAAACCTTTCCTACCATTGCGTTTGCAGGGAGGACATTATTTACTAAAGAGGGCTTGACAACTGGGGGAGAAAAAGAGAAAAAAAAAGTTGGTAAAAAAAAAATCAAACTTCCATTTCTTTGTAGGAAAGATTTATAGTTCTTTAAGATCGGGCGTATTACTGTCATATGGTAATCTCACCAAGTTGAAGCAGAACTACATTAACTCGCTTCTCCGAGCCCACTTTTACATTACTGAGCAAAGCTTTTCGAAGGAAGGGCTCTTGTTGAGCAGTTAGTGACATAAGGCAGGCCTTCCAAGGTGCAAGTGGCAGCCAGAGGAACAAACGCGATACATCTACTTCATAAATAATCAGCATTTGCATAGCTTCATCACAGAGACACACATTGTTTTAGAGAACTGCATTTTATTTCCATTGTGAATTAAGGCTGATTTTCTAAAAAAAAAAAAAAAAAAGCCAGGTGGTGGTACACGATTTTAATCCCAGCATTCGGGAGGCAGAGGCAGGCAGATCTCTGTGAGTCTGAGGCCAACCTGGTCCACAGAACAAGTTCCAGGACAGGTCTCAAAGCTACAGAAAAACTCTGTCTTAAAAAAAAAAAAAAGAAAGAAAGAAAAAAGAAAAAAAGTTGATGGGAAGGATAAATTAATTTTGTTATTTTGTTTTAAGTTAACACAACATAGTTAAAGTACTTTCTTGTGACTAAATTATACTGAGATACATTAAGTGGGGGGACAAAAGCTATTTTTGACATAGAAAAGGCAATTAGTAACTAGTTTAAAAAAAGAAGTAACAGCTTAAGAATTTTGTTACAAGGAGCAAATGGGTACAGGTCTAACTTGTTTATTAATTTATCAGCTGCTGGCGATGGTAGCACATGCCTTTAATCCCAGCACTCGGGAGGCAGAGGCAGGTGGATCTCTGTGAGTTCGAGACCAGCCTGGTCTACAGAGCTAGTTCCAAGACAGGCTCCAAAGCCACAGAGAAACCCTGTCTCGAAAAACCAAAAAAAAAAAAAAAAAAAAAAAGCAGAGAGAAATATGAGGAGTTAATTTATCAGCTATGAAGATGGAAATTCAGTACTTTTATTATAAAAAGGATCATTTGCACTTATCTATTAGTTTGGTAAAGTAAAAGCTAGATCTTAAATTCTGCATTATTTTCTTAGAAGCTGAGTTATAACTCACCAGTTTTTCTCAGTCTGAGGTACTTGAGGCCTCACCTAGCTTGGAGTCTCAAAGGCATTTCACATTCAAAATATTATTTTCAAATTATTTTACAACCTACTTTTAAGTTCAATGGTTCCTATAAGGAAACCATGATAAGCTTATTTTGACTAGTTTAAAAAAAATACAAAGTTAAAAAAGAAAAAAAATTGCCCTGTACCCCAGAGGTCTTATTCTAAAAATGTTCGACCACAATCCCAATAATTTAATTAATACAAAATCCAGTGGTTTTAAGTTCACATTTAATGATTAGCTCCCACCTCGCATATTCTTTAGAATGTAGTATCCCAACTTTGGTGTAGAATGTTTTTCCTCATAGGAACGTCTCGCTTGTCATTCCTGTTTGACAGCAGTTTAGAAAACACAAGCAGAAACACTCCACAGTGTTTCCTAGACATCGTCTAAGCACATAGTCCTCGTGTAAGGCACTTCTACGCGTTCTCAAAGCTGTCGTTACTTTTTCCCATTTGTCTTAGACTCAAGTCTCTGCAAGTTATACAGTGATTGTTACTTCAAGTAAAACCTTAAGAACGTGATTTTAGTACAACTGCCCTGTCTCTTCGATGGTGGGAAGAGGGGAAGAAGGGCATCAGGTTCTGTGGAAGGAAAACCTGGGTGCAGATCTTGTCTAGTTTACACTTAGAGAACTGGTAATGGTTTACCTTGTTGATCTTGTTGGAGAAGTTTGAAGTCTTCCAAAGGAAGATCATGTAAGGCCGTGGGTAAAATGTGTTCGGAGAGGCCCTTGGGTAGCATGTTACTGGCTTCTAAACTCTTCACCAAGCACGTGGCTTTGATCCATCTTTGAGTTGCTCTGCGTTCTCTTTGTAGGCAAGTTTTCATTTTCCTTCTTAAGCTTGCTATTTCTTTCTCTAGTTTAATTATCCTTTTTTTCGCCTCCATGGGGTTCCTAAAGGCATAACTGTGTTCGAGTAGTACTTGTTGGCTGTTCGACTTTAAATTCCACGGTCCAGTTGGAGGAAAACTGTCATTTTTCTTCAAAAGATTCCTTGACTTGAGTTTCTGAGCCGAACAGAGAGTTGAATATAAATTACGGATATCACAAGTAAGTAAACAGTGTCCAGTTTTGAGCACACATGATTGAGGACTGCTAGGTATAACGGGCAACAACAGCACACCATCTCATGTGACCACGGCTAGAGCGTCTCAGTAGGCTGAATGAACTCGACCCACCCTGTACTTTTCTCTATTTGAGACGCGGTCTCTCTACCTAGACCTCTCAGGTGGTCACGGAACTCGTTACTGAGACCAGAGTGGCCTTGAATTTAAAGAGATCCACCCGCTGGGATTAAAGGTGTGTCTGTGCCAGGCCTCACTAGTCACTTTCTTCCTTATCTATAGAGACACTCAAACATTGATTTAGAAATGGATCTTTCAAGGTTTCTTCCACACTATTCAATATTATTCTTTGGGGGTTTTAAAAATCTTTTTCAACTCTTTTTACTAAGACCAAACTAGAATTTGTTTAGACATTTCACTTATCTATGGTATTGATCTGATTTCCTTTTTGCTAAGTGTTAGTCTCTCAATTTGATGAATAGTTCAGACCTGGAATCTACATAAACAAAAACTCACATGTCTATGGAGGTATGTTCTCAGGTACCAAGTTCCCAAACAGGTTTACTTATTAATTCTTCGCACTAAATCTTCAAAGATTTAAAATCTGGATAGGAATTGCTAGCAGGGCGGTGGTGGCGCACGCCTTTAATCCCAGCACTCAGGAGGCAGAGGCAGGTGGATCTCTGTGAGTTCGAGACCAGCCTGGTCTACAGAGCTAGTTCCAGGACAGGCTCCAAAGCCACAAAGAAACCCTGTCTCGAAAAACCAAAAAAAAAAAAAAAAACAAAAAACTGGATAGGAATTGCTTTGTCCGAACAAAAGCTAAGGATTCTTTTGTTCACTATACTCCAGAAATATTAAACCACGTTTTGTTTTCCTATGGTAGCACATCTTCTTATAATCATGTCTTTCCTTTATTAAACAAACATTCCTTCAAGATATGATGGTACACACTGTGATCCCTGCATTCAGGAGGCTGAGGCAGGGATACCATAAACTTGAGGCTAGCCTAGAGTTATGCAGTGAAACTGTCTCAAAAAAGCCAAAGCATAAAAAAAAACCCCGTTTTTGGCTTTTGGAGGCAGAGGCAGGAAGACAGCTAGTTCAAGAGAAGCTTGTAGGGCTGGAGGATAGCTCAGTAGTTGAGAGCACTGGTTGCTCTTCCAAAGAACCCAGATTCAATTTTCATCACCTATATGGTGGCTAACAACTGTTTGTGACTTCATTTTTCCAGTAGATCCAATGTCCTCTTCTGGTCTCCACAGGCACCAGCATATTTATGGTGCAGACATACACTCAAGCAAAAACACCAATACATATAAAATAAGATAAATCTTTTTTAAAAAAAGAATAGCTCAGGCCAGAGTTTGAAGATAGCTTGGGCTACCTTAAGAACAAGATAGTCTCTCTAAACAAAAACAACAACAAACAAACAAATAAAAAAACCCAACCACACCGCTTTTCAATAATTATGTCCTGGGGAAACGATGCTGAAAAAATTATAGTTCCTACGATCATAAAAACTACAGCTGGCCTCTCTTCAAGAGAAATGGCACAGTCTCCCTTTGCTCTTCATTTTCTCAACATGTAACAGATTTTGTCATAATGAAAAGTTTAATAGTTATTGGATGGGGCTGGAGAGAAGGCTCAGTGGTTAAGAGCAGTGGTGGTTCTTCCAGAGGACCTAGGTTCAATTCTCAGCACCCACATGGCAGCTTACAACTGCTTATAACTCTACCTCCAGGGAATCTGACACCCTCACATAGACATATATGCAGACAAAATACCAATGCACATAAAGTAAAAAATTAAAAAAAATAGTTATTGGATAAATAAATGATCAGATGTCAGAAATAAAGTTCCATCTTCCCTTTTCTTGAGATAATGGCTCACGAAGCCCTGGTTGGTGCTGCCCTTTCTATGGAGCAGATGAACTGCTCCTCCTGCCTCCACCTCCTGAGGATCTAAATTACAAATATGAAATATGCATTCCCTGTGCCGGCTGATGGTGCATTTCAATCTCAATATTTGAGTGCATACTCGGGGTCAGGTATGCTTTAAGGTGCTCAAATTTGAAAGATTTAGAAATGAGAAAGCCCTTGTTGTTCTATAGCTTTTCCAACATCTTAAGCGGCAATTCACAACCTTCCCACCCATTAAAACATTAACTCATGTCCACTTCCGAATTCAAATACCACAGTTAACCAACAGCCTTTTCTTACTCGGTATGAAGACGCCCTTTTCCAAAGCCTCCAGTTTTCTAGCTTTTCTTTAGGTGGCTTTTTCAGTTTTCTTCTCTAATCAGCTCTGACCTAGTCAGATCAATGTTCCTTCTTTCTCCTCCTGTCTTCTCTCTGGTGCTGGTCCTCACTCTCTGGACACACTCCACTACAGAGCTGTATTTGCAGCCGCAAATCAAGTGGTTTTGTTTTTGAGACAGAGTCTTAGTCCGTAGCTCAATAAATAGACCTCAATTAGTAGACTGGGCTGGCCTCGAACTCATAGAGCTCCAAATGTTTCTGCCTTTGAGTGCTGGGATTAAGGGTATGCACCACCAGCCTGGCTTAAACTCATTTTAATTCATTCACCTGGCATCTGATTTTCTCTTTTCTTTCAAATAAACCAACATCTGATAACTTCTTTCTCATCTCACAATTTATTATCTAATTAAATTGCCCTATGTATGGCCAAAAACCTCCTCAAGTGTCCCAAACTCCCAAGGTTTCATCCCTAAACTGAATAACTCCATTGTTTCTTATAAAGCCTCGACTGAAACCACCATCTCTTGGTGTAAGTGAATATGTGTTCTTAAAGTACTTGCTAGCACATCACTTGTTATCTTAGAATCAGAATAGAGTGATTCTGGAGCTGTCATTACTAATCTTTTTGTTTATGCCAATGGTACACTTACTGATAATTGTGAGTAATTTTAGTTATGTAAGGCTGCATTTCTGGCCAAGTACCCTATATGCAAAATGCTTGGGACCACAAGTGTTTCATCCTTTGAGGATTGCATAGACTTTTACCTGATGAGCATCCTTAATTGTGGGCATACAGAGTCCAAAATCTGGTATTCGTTTGGACTTCACAGGGGAAACGAAACTGGAGTCAGGAGACCTAAATTCTAATTCTAGCCTGTACCTTTATAATACAAGCAGACGCTCTACAGCTTTTGGGGGTGTATCATTACACACTCATTTAGCACAATGTGAATTGCTCACTTGCACAAACAAGAAGTAATAGGCTCTAAGACATGTTTTAAGAAAGGAGAGCGACATCACCTACCATAGACTTTATATGGGTACAGAAATCAAAAATGGTTGGAACAGCATCCATTTTAAGTCGTCGAGTTTGTCCTGTTAGATCAAAACAGGAGGCTTCAAAGTGCTTTGAACAAAGAAAAGTGTGTTTTCCTGGCACAAAATTTTTGCGCCTAACCAGGCGAACCCATTCTTTTCTTCTTTTAGGATCCAAAGGAAACCTTAAAACAAGCAAACAAAAAGCAACTCAAATTCCAACTGTCCTATTTTTGTTGTACTCAATAGTTATTTAAAAAGTCCTTCATTTATGTAAAAAAATCTCCAGATGCCAAGTTATAATTTTTATTTATAAAAATTTAGTGAAAAACTAATTTTCTTAGGTTTAATTTTCAAGACTTTAACAAGAGACATCCCATCCAACCTAGGCCTTAGGAAGGACAATAACTAAAGTTTAAATAACACTCTTCTGTAGAATGATCACAAGAAGGAGTAATTTCACAATGCTGTTCTCTGCTGCTGCAGCGCATACATCAAGTATGTTAAAGACAACATTTTTACAAGGAAAGTCTGGGTAAATACACTCCTTTTCGTCTTTCCTACATTACATCACCGTTTTATACTTTCTCCATTCAAATTTCCAATAGTACAAATTACATATTTTCAGAGAAAACTTATTGTGTGCATGCACACATGTGCAGGCAAACATGGAAATCAGAAAACAACTTTGGGGAACTGATTTGGTTCTTTCCTTCCACCATGGGTTCTGGCATGGAACTCAGGTTCTCAGGCTTGTGTGGCAATAACAGTGTTTGCCTGCTGAGCCATCTCACTGTCCCCAGCATTTCTCAAGGAAAGCGATTATTATTATTAATCTGCTTATCTTTGACCATGCTTTATAAACAATAACAACTCAACACAACTTGATATAATACAAATACAGAATATACAAACAATTCGCTGAATTCTATGTAGTTAAGCTGCATTTAAAAAATTCTGGAGCTATGGAGCTTAGCAGGAAACATAATTATAAAAAGATAAATGATCCATGAGCTATCCCTTTCCTTTCATATTCATTTCAAATAAAAAGATACATCCATTCAACACATACTGCTTTTAAGGAAGACACAAATACCGAGGACTATTTTATAAAAATTCTAACAATTCTAGCTTTGTGAAGTGACTTGGAAATGTAAGAATAAACATTCACATATAGTTAAATTCCAATTACAATTCTCATTTTTCTTTTCCATTTAGGGCCAGTGAGATGAGTCATTAGGGAAGAAGAGCACTTACCGCTGGACCTCAGAACCTGAGTTTGATTTCCTGGACCCACATGGAGGAAGGAGAGAAAACCCAACTCCCACAAGTTGTCCTGTCCTCACAGGCTATGGCATGTGCACACACAGTCTTTCTCTCTCAAAGATGCACAATAATTATGTGTGTGAATAAAGGTCCCTTTGGTACCAAATGTGTATGATATATCTGTGTGAACATGTGTGCCAGTTCGTAAATGGAGGCCGGAGGCCAAGCTGGTGGAGTTGGTTTTCTCCTTCAACCTCTGCATGGGTTCTGGGGGTCAAATTCAGATAGATTTTCATGGCAAGTGTCTTTGTTCGACGAGCCATTCCGCCAGCTTCTAAGTCTTCTTTAGATTACTTCTTTGATTACCATATCCTCTATAAGTAGTCATTTGTATAAAAAAGAACCATAAAGTCCATGTGAGATCATGTGGGTCAGAATTAATTTCCACATTGCCAGTGATGAGGAGCATAGCAATGAAGGCCCAAGTCTACTCTAAATATTCTTTCTCACAACAGACATGCCCTGAGGATTTGCTGTCACTCCACAGTACATAGTATTTCATTAGAGGATATTTTCTGAAAAATCGACCAACCTTGCTTAGTACTCAGTCTCCGCTGCCCTCTGAGTTCCGAGACAGGGCCTACCAATCCAACCCAGGCTCGACTGCAGCACACTGTGCAGTCCAGGGACAAGCTAGACTCTGGACTATATCTGCTCAGACTTTCACGTGCTGGATTACATGAGCGAGTGGCTGCATTTGGCTTAGCACTTACCTACTAATTTGTTCTCGGCCAAAGAACTCTTTTTTCACCTAGTGCTGTGTCAAACGTAGTTAGGTGTATTTAATTTTACCAGGGAATCAGTGAAATGAGCAGTATCATTTGCAGCCCATTGGCTTCCCCCTTCAGTGTTGGAATGTGGGCCTCTACCACCACAGCAGGCTTTAAAACATTATCTTTAATTATGTTGTAATTACGTGTTATGTTTTGTTTTTGAGACTCTAACGTCACTCAGGCCGACAACAGGCTTACTATTGCAGCTGAGGACAACCTTGACCTTTTGTGATGGCCTGGGCAACTCTTCCTGGTCCTTGAATATGTTGCTTGGATTTTTCACAGTACATTTTAGGGGTAGATGTGGCTCACAGGCTAAATTTAAATTAAAAACATCTTATATTGAAAGACTTACATGGTGTCAACGGATGGAAATATTCTTGTCCACACAACACACCCCAGGTTTTATGCACTTATGTGTTTGAGCAATGTTTTTTTCCTTGCATTTTAAATAAATGGCTGAATACCTCTTACATTTTTAAGCACTGTAGACATGGTGGTAATAAAAAAAAAATGTCTCCCTCTGTATACAGTAACTGAGAAGGTAAAGAGTCAAGTAATCCTAGCATACTAGCAGAGTGGCTGAGAATATTATTGGATAGCCCAATAATTTACCATTGAGGTACATTCCCAGCCCCAGGTATTTTTATTTCTATTATGTGTAATGAAAGGTAGACATGCTTCTACGGGGCTAAGAAGATAGCTCCTGTGGATCCCTGTGTCAGTGACCAAGTGTGGAAAGTTTCCTGTCTCAGAAAGAAGGAAGAAACAAGACAGTGCCTGAAGAACAACCGTGGAGGTTGTCCTGGCCTCCAGATGCACGTCTGCAAATTCACATGCACACATATGTCTTTTAAAGATTAGAACATGGAAATACCTAGCTTAGTGGCATAGTGGGTCTTTTGTAAAGGATCTGCATGGAATAGGATATGCTGATTTATCCAAAAGGCCCTAAGAAAGGACCTTAAGTGGGAGGAGTGATGTCATAAGGCTATCTCAGGAGCAGGACAGGAAATAAACATGGAGGGCCTCCTATGTCAAAAATATTAAAATACATTCAAAGTGCCATTGACAAGCCAAAAGGGCTGAACTGCGAGATGACCGAATGAGCTGATAAGTTCAACCACTGTAAATGGCTAACTCCGAAACATTTTACTAATAACTGTTTCTTTTTAAACAGGTTCATTTCTAATCATGTGTTTGTGAGGATATATACACACAAACCCAGGGACCCAAGGAGGCCGGAAGTTAGATCTCTTAGAGCCAGAGTTAACAGATTGAACTGCCTGATGAGGGTCCTGGGAACTGAACCTGGGTTCTCCAGAAGAGCAGTACTTATTCTCAGCTGCTGAGCCATCTTTCCAGCCCAATTTCTACTTTTTAAAGTTATTTACGACTACTGCATCTACACGGCAATAGATTAATGTGATATTGTACATCTTTTCTTAGCTCCACAATCAGTCATGTCATACTGGTGGCTTGAAACCACGCTTGGTGAGAGGAAATGCATCTCAGAAACTGGGCAAATACTGCAAACTGGGGCTTTCCCCCGGAAAGAAAAATGTTAACAACACGGAGCTTTAGAGCATTGATTATACAAGGATGGTTAAAGCACACGAGTGAAAGCCAGTAAACCAGGTAAGACGCTGGTCAAATAGCCAGTCAAAAGGGAACAGTGGTCCATCATGTTGGATTGCTTCCACCTTGTCGAGGGGATGGCATTTCACTTACTGAAAAGGAGAAAATGGAATCCGTATATTTACTGGATGGCGGTTCACTACCGATAATCTACGCATCTGGTAGAGGACAGACCAGGAAAGAGCACACAGTCTGTCCGCAAACACTCTTGTACGCCCTGGAGATGAGGACGCCCCCTGTTGGGGAATCCTTTAAAACAGCTCACGGCTGGGACACACGCGCACAGGTGAGTCATTTTGCTAAGAAGGGTTAGTAGAAGACAGTAAAACAAAGGAAAGAAACCCAAAGGACAAAATTCATAAAACTAGTGACAATGTGGAGATTATTTCACTGAGTAAAAAAGATTACATCTTTAGAAATCAGACACACAGGTCATGTTCACAGAGGCAATTTTAGGAGGTTATGAATGATGTAGATGTTATAGAGATGTTAGATTGGAATAGGTTTAGAAGTATAAAAAACTGAAAATAAGTTTAGGCAACATAATTTTAAAAATGATTTTTATTTTGTATGTGTACATATTTGAACATATCTATGTGTGCAAGAGCCCAAGGAAGTCCCAAGAGGAGTTGGATCCCCGGGGTCTGGTTTGTGAGCTCCCATGCATATGTGTGCCGGGATCCAAATCCAGGGCCTCAGTAAGAACACTAGGTACTATTAAGCCATGAGCCCCCAGGCAACAGTTTGTGCAGGTGGATAAAGAAGTCTAGGCTGGCCAGGCATGATGGTAGATGTCTTTAATGGAAACACTTGGGAGGCAGGGGCAGAGAGATCTCTCTGAGTTTAAGGCCAACCTGGTCTATATATCAAGTATGAGCTAGCCAGGGCTACATAGCGAGACCCTGACACATACACCCACAGTATCTATGTCCTACAAGAAAAGTTAAATACTATTTGCATTTATAAAAACATGAATATATTTTTACTATAATGCTATTTTAAAACCCATTTTTCTTGTTGATTTGATTTTGCTTGTTGTATTTGGAGACAGGATCTTATTTTGTAGCTAGGCCTCAAATTCATTCTGTAACTCAGGCTGGCTTTGAATTCATGGTGATCCTTCTATACTATGTAAATGGAATATGGGAATATGTCTGCCTAGCAATTATAAAGACCTAAATTTCTAAGGCTACCATAAAAGTGCTAATTTCACATTAGATGAATAGTATTGCACAGTGCGCATCCTCCTACCCCCTTGAGACAAGAGTTTTATTCTGTAGTCCGGATAGACCTAGAACATGGGGGTGGATGCTCCTGGCTCAGCCTCTATTCTAAGGTTGTCGCTGTGAACCACCACACCCAGCTCTCCACTGTCCATCTCTTAAGCACTGCTTGTGGTGGCTAGGCTCCTCCCGTTCATCCTCCACATCAGATTACCAAGTCCAGTAAATTCTCCTCAAACATATCTCAAAATCTGTCTACTCCTCTCCACCCTTACTGCCGAGAGCATCCTGTTCGAGGCCACTGAATGGTTTCCCCATGTTCTTTTTTATTTTGAGACAGGGTCTATGCAGCTCAGCTGGCCTCGAACTAAAGACACCCGGCCTCTTTCTTCTCATTCCCGAGACTACAGACAAGCATTACCACAGCAGGCTTGGGCTCCCTTTTGTCTTCTCACTCAGCTCTTGCCCCCTCTAATTCAGTGCTCCTGTACCCACAACAGAGCAGCAGTGTTCTGTCCAGCGGACACCTAACACGCTTTCCCTGTGAAGGAAATAGCAGATAAGTAAACGTTCTGTAATAGGCTCCTTTCTTATCTAACTCATCTCTGCTGACACTAGCCTAACACGCCAAGTGTCACTCTTAACTCTACAGCAGTCGGAAGGCTTTTTATTATGTAAATCTAATCATGCTACTCTTTTTGCATCCTTCAGGGCTTCTCAAGTATTCTTGGAACAAAAAACGGAAAATGCTTTAGTATAGAGGACCAGACCGGACTTTGGTCTGTGGTCTCATTTGACACTTCACCTTTTGTGAGGCGTCCTTTGACTTCCCAAGGCTAATTACGTCTCTTTGAATGTCTTTTCTGTGGCACTCAACTGTAATTCCTCCTCTATTGAATTTTAAAGTCCCCGAGGGTAAGAATTTTCTCCGTCATTAGCATAATGTCAGGCAATTAGGGACCTGGTGTACCGCAGCTGTAAGAATGAACAATGCATTACATTTGCAGGAAGTAGTTTTAAAACAAACAGCAGAAGGATTTTTTTTTTTTTTTTTAAGTAGCAGCTTTTAGTCAGGGGATGCCCTTAGTGAGGTAGGGAAAAAATCAAAAGATCAAAGCTATTTTCTATATCCTAAGATCACACTTTATATAGTGGGGTGTATCAAGTCAGAACCGTTTTCACTTAGGTTTTTAGTATTTTTTTTCCCCTTTGGACAGGTGGCAGTTCTTGACGGAAAGGCGAACATTTACTGAGCACCTATTACGTTCAAGTACCGATTATGTCCAAATGCTTGGCAGAGTTTGTCTTAGCACTACCGAGGCCATGACTGCGTTCTCAAGAGAAAGGAAAACGGAATCTCGGTTCATTTTATGCTCATGTTCTGTTTGGGCTTTGATACACACTGCTTAATTACATGGCCGTCAGTGATGACTCAGTTCATCGGCGGTTACTGTGTGTGCCTATCAGAAAGGTTTCCCACGTCAACTCAGCTAGCGAAAAATTGCCTAATTTTAACTCCAACCCAGCAGGCTGTGTTGACTTGAACGGGAGACGCTTGGTCCCTTATGGCGTCATTCGTCTCAAGGCATGGTTTAAGATATCAAAATAAAAGAGGAGGAAAAAAAATAAAGGTATGCGCATACTTTTTAATGTGAGGGGTGTCATTCGCAAGAATCCTCACTGCTTTCCGCAAATTGGGTAAACTTTCCTCGGGAACGGAGAAAAAGGTCTCCGGCTGCGCGGAACAGCACACAAAGGACAAAAGTGATGTTTCCCTCCCATCCTCCGGCTATTCTTAGCAGTCACCAGGCGAGGAACGCAAGTCCCCGCGTCCTTCTGACGCGCCCGGTGACACTCAGACCCGTTTAGCGCCCGTGGCCGTCACCCCCACGCCCTCGCCCGGGTTTTACCTGTGGAAGCTGATGTTAATGTGCTTGTTGTAGGTGGCAGCGCAGCCCGCCGCGGCGCAATTGGTCGGCATTGCCCCCGGCCCCTCATTCGGCGCAGCCCCGCGAAAGCCGCTGTCACCGCGCAAAGGCGAACGAGGCCGGCGACCAGGCGCTGCCAGCCGGGCGGGAAGAGGGGCGTGCACACTACAGGGCAGGGAGGGAGGGTCCACTCCCCTTTCTCTTTATTAATATGGCGGGTTCAGGCCCGCAGAGCCAACGGTCCTGGAGCTCCCGGCGCGGACGATCGCCTTCACCAACATGGCGGCCACACCCGCTTCCCCCCCCCCCCCCCCCCCCCGCCCCCCGGGGTCCCAGAGAGTGGGTAGACTGTGTCTCAGGGAGGGGCGCCCGAGCAACGGGAAGATGGCAGGTGTCTTCCCCACCAACGAGTGACTCTGAAACTCAGGTCTACGACTCAAGAGCAGGCCCGCTACCCAGACAGCTCGCACCCCGCCACTTCAGCCAGGATGCCAGGGACAGCGGCGTCCGCTAGGGACCAAGGGCGAAGCCTTGCGCAAGAGGAGAGACTACAGATCCCAGAGAGCACCGCGTCCGTCATGCTTCTCGTTATCGCGAGGCTTGTCAGCGCCCCTTTCCGGAGTGCTGCCGGAAATGACGATCGGGACACGGCCTCCTCCTCCTCCTCCTCCACCACCTCCTCCACGGCTCCTTTCTCGCGAGGCGGAAGAGCAGCAAGGGGGCGCTAGGAGAGGGTACTGGTTAAGCGACGGTCCGGCGAGAGAGATCTGGGGTGCGGGGAAGTTGGGGAGCAGAAGCTGCGAGGCGTCCGAGCACGGGGAGGCCGCGCCTGCCGGGCCCGTTAGGACAGAGGGGATAGGAGGAAGGGGAAGGCAGCGGGCGGGCGGGTCCCCGGACGGAAGGCTAAGGTAGTGTGAACGGCGCTGCTCCCCGGATGGCGACCGCTGAGACTTCGACCCCGGCCTCTAGCGGCCTCTCCCCGAAGGAAGAAGGGGAGCTTGAAGATGGGGAGATCAGCGACGACGACAACAACAGCCAGATCCGGAGCCGGAGCAGCAGCACCAGCAGTAGCGGCGGCGGGCTGTTACCGTACCCGCGCCGGAGGCCTCCTCACCCGCCCCGGGGCGGCGGATCCGGGGGAGGCGGCGGCTCGTCGTCGTCTTCGTCTTCGTCCCAGCAGCAGCTGAGGAATTTCTCACGCTCGCGGCACCCGTCGGAGCGGGGCCACCTCAGGGGACACAGCAGCTACCGACCCAAAGAACCGTTCCGGACTCACCCGCCCCCGGTGCGGATGCCTTCGGGCTCCCTGTCGGAAAGCAGCCCCCGACCGTCGTTCTGGGAGCGGAGCCACATCGCTCTGGACCGTTTCCGCTTTCGAGGCAGGCCGTACCGGGGTGGGAGTCGGTGGAGTCGGGGGCGAGGAGTGGGTGAGCGAGGAGGCAAGCCGGGGTGCAGACCTCCTCTGGGAGGAGGAGCGGGATCCGGATTCGGCAGCAGTCAGAGTTGGCGAGAACCCTCTCCACCTCGTAAGAGCTGTATCCTTAACGTGGCGGTCTGCCCTGGGTGTGTCGCTGGAGCTCCCTTGAGCGTCACGACTAGGTCCCTGAGTTTAACTTTTCGGAGCCACTTACTTGTCTCTGTTCGTCGGCCGTTGTCATGTGCCACACTCCGCCGCTATTTTCTTTGATTGTTTTATTGGACTGGACTGCTTTCGAACAGGAATGTGTCATGGATTCGGGTCAGCTAGGGAAATGAAAGACAGTCCAGGTTTTTAACGGTACACCAGTAGCCCAGATTGCATTGGCATTTGCTGTTTTGCTAGCACCGGAATTTCGTATTTTATGGGAAATTCACTTAGATTATTAGAGAAAAGAAATACCCACAACTTGAGGAATCTAGTTACTTATATTACATCCTGACTTTAGAATTCGTTAACTTTCCTCTGTAATTTTACTGTTCTTGTGAAATTTTCCTTACTCTTCTAGAGTTCTCCTTTTAAAGTGTGTGTGAGCGTGCGTGTGTGTAGACCCCTTCTTCTTCTTCTTGTTCTTCCTCCTCTTCCTCCTCCTCCTCCTCCTCCTCCTCCTCCTCCTCTTCTTCTTCTTCCAGTTTTAGTAATTCAGATCTTTTGAATATATACGTTGTTTGGAAAGCTGTATGCATTGAGTTCACTTTCCTATGTTCACTTTTGGGCTTTTTAACTCTGTGCTGCCTACATGTAGATCAGAGAAAGAGAAACTCAGCAATACTTTTAGTGTGTTAGGGAGGAATGTGTAGAGTATGGACACGTGAGGAAGAAAAAAAAAACAATTTCCTAATTTTTGCCCCCTCTAATCTTATTATTGGTTATCTTTAACATTACCAAATTTACTCGGGGTTTATGTTAATAAATTAATCTTCCGTGTTTTATGATTGGTTTATACATCCCAACTTTTACTAATTGTTTTAAGATAGATTACTAAGCACTTTTATTACTAGCTTTAATTCCCATGGTGTAATGATTGTTTAATATGTTTTCTATAAAATTTACATATGATACTTAATTGGAAGATACTCAGTTATTTTTATGGAGCACTTTAGGCTATGTGGACTTTTCCTAGATGTCATGATGGTAATGGGCGAGGGATAATTAAAGAAACAGCAGGTTTTGGTTCCTGTGTCCTGAAAAAGCTGTTACTTCTCTCACCTAACATTGGTTTAGAAGCGTCTCAAGATTGTTTTGGAGAAAAATCACAGGTAGGTAACCTTTTAAAACACAGTGAATGTTCTTCCATGAAGATTAGAAAACCTCCGCCCGTGATTATATGCACACATGAGCCATCAATGTTTTTTTGTTGTTGTTGTTTTTTGTTGTTGTTTTGCTTTTTGTATTCAAAAACAAAGGATGTTTAAATACATAGACATGTTTTTAGGGTTATGTAGATGAAACATCTAATAGGTGTTGGAGAAATGAAAATAGAGTTTAGTAAAACAGCAAATTGAGGACAAAAGTACTGTTGGCAACTTAAAGATTTTCTTAGTTTCCTCTGCATTACAGTGGTGGTGACTAGGCTCGCCTGCCTCCTTCCTCCACCTTTTTGTCTGTTTATTTGCTACTGTTTGGGGTTATGCTATATACTAATATTTTTATGTACTTACTGCAAAAAGAGTGTAGATAAATATCCAGTATGTTTGTGATTCTTGATTTCTCTGACACCTTGTCAGAAATCAGCTGTTTTGCTGATTGCTTTTCAGATACTACACTTTAAGAACAAGATGCTCGGGTTGATTGTCTGCATAATTGTTCTCATGAAATACCAGCAAACCACTGTAGAGGTGTTCTTAATAAAAATTTGAGAAGGAAAAATGTAATGTGAGCCAATAAAACTTGCAGTGCAAAGCCCTATCCACATTCTTTTAATATCAGTATCAGACTCAGCTTGTCATATGTCCACTGTGATTATAAAAAATGGCAACTTTGCAAATAGTACCTAAAAAAGAATGAGGACAATTCTGTCTCAGCTTAAGTGGTTTAGGAATGCAATAGCTTGAGTATAATTTTTTTTCTGTCATTATTTTCTTAAACATAATTAGGGATATATTACTTGCAACTTCAAAGAAAACGGAAAAGACCAGAATCTGTTTCAGTTCTTCTTTTTCTTCTTCTGTTAAAATGTTTTTTTTAAATATTTATTTATTATGTATACAATATTCTGTCTGTGTGTATGTATGCAGGCCAGAAGAGGACACCAGACCCCATTACAGATGGTTGTGAGCCACCATGTGGTTGCTGGGAATTGAACTCAGGACCTTTGGAAGAGCAGGCAATGTTCTTATCCTCTGAGCCATATCTCCAGCCCCCTTAAAATTTTTTTCTAGACAGGCTTTTGCTGTTTAACATTTCTGGTTATTCTGGAATTCTCTTTGAAGGCTAGCCTACAGACCAGGCTGGCCTCAAATTCACAGAGATCCCCCTGCCTTTGCCTCCCAAGTGCTGGGATTAAAGGCATGCACCACCACTCTCCGGCCTCTTTCAGCTATCTGTCTGTCTGTCTGTCTGTTTTTATTGCTGTTGTTTCGAGACATAGATTTACATTATAGCGTCTTTGGAATTCCCTGTGTTGCCCAGCTTCCCCCAAAGTTATGGCAGTTAGCTTGCACCAGTCTCCCTGCAGCTCTTCATTCTTGTTCGCTTTCCTTGTGAATTTTTTTTGTTTTTGTTTGTTTGCTTTGTTTTGTGAGACAGGGTGTCTTGTACCATAGGCTACCTCAGGACTCCTGATCTTCTGTCTTAACCTCCTCAGAGTTAGCATAGACATTTTGTCAGTGTTAGTGTTAAGTCTCCCTTGTATAACTAACATTTTAAACTTTGAAATCAGGTGAGAGTTGACATAATTAGGGTCAGTAAAGTTATCCTATCTTCCTTTTTGATTTCAGCTAATGTTGAAAAGTGGTTCTACCTTGAAAACAGCAGGTTTAAAAGTCATTTTAAACTCTCGCTTCCTTTTTCTTTTTTCGTACTGAGGATTGAGCCCAAGGCTCTACTATAGAAATTACATCACTGGTTCTTATTATAATTTTGCTTGAAGAGAGGATCTTGTGAATAGCTCCCAGCCCTGTCTCAGCTTCCATGGTAGTTGGCATTATAGGCATTTGCCACCAAACTCCGCATGGAAGCTGCTTTTCCCTTTTTAAAAGATTTATTTTTATAATTTTAAATGTATATGTGTGTACATACTCCTACATGAGTGCCTCAGCAGACCAGGGGTGTCAGATTGCCCCGAGCTGGTGCTACGGGCAGTTGTGAGGCTCCTGATGTGGGTGCTGGGAATTGAACTCAGGTCCTTAGCAAGAGCAGTACACACAACATCTGTGCTATCCTCTCCAGTCCACGTAGTTCTTTTTAGTTTTCCTTCTACCACTGAAGTATAGACTCAGCAAGTAAAATACAAGTAAAAAATAACATCTTGACAAACGAGCAAGTACTGATTTGATCCTTATTATGTAGAGGTGGGAAGATTTTTGTCTCAGAGGTAAGTTAATGGGTCTAACTCAATTGCTTTTACTCATTTTTCATTTGGTACTTTTTGTTGGTATATTGAATCTATTCCCTTTGCTAATGTCTTCAGTGTCTTTAGTAATTATTTGGTTTTTTATTGCTGTAGTTTTACTTTTAGATGGCTTAGTTGGAATACACATAATTGTAGTATTTATGCCCAAAGAATGCATACATGGCCAGGTAGAATAAATAATTGTGGCTTCATCTAGGAGATGTCTTGAATTGGGGTCAAGTTGGAGAAC